ATCTGTTTTCTATTCTATTAAGATTACTTTTCTTATTTTTGTTTTTAAAATTAATGGATGACCAGTGAGATATTATCAATGGAGTTATGGCCCTAGTGGCAACTAGACTTTTCATCAATCACTTTTGTATTACTACCCACAAGTGGTGACATATTGCTATAGTTTCCACCTTTTTTGTGGATGGTGTTCAGAAGTCAGAGTTTGGCTGTCGGTGTCTGTAATGAATGACAGGTGCCTTTATCGTTTATAAGGTCATTGGAGGAGCAATTTGAATTATGATGCATTTCCTTCCAAAAGTTTGGACCAAATATTAATGGAATTATAAAGCATAGAGTGTGAAATATTAGACACATTTTTAAATCATGCCAATTTTTCTTACAATCTTATTTTATTTCTAAAACAAAAATTAGAAATCTGATCAAATATAGAAGTTATTTAAAATTTAAAATACGGAAATGTTTTTCTCATTTTCTTACCTGTCAACCTTAAACGTCAATCCTGAAATAGTGTTGAAAATGTTGGATGTTTTAGAAATTAGTCATGACATGACACCTTTAAATAGATAATGCTCAATTCCGTACTTGTATACCTGGGTTGGTATCTTAAAATAGATAGAACCACTATGGTATTTAATAGGGCTGCTATACTTTAGGAGGGGAATGTACCAAATAAAGCTCCATGTAGTACTGGCATACTTGGTGTGACATCTATAAATAGATAGAGTCACTATTTTATTTAATAGGTTTACCATACTTTAGGAGGGGAATGTACCAGATAAAGCTCCATGTAAGTTGCATACCTTGTGTGACATCTATGGACCACTATGGTATTTAATAGGGCTGCTATACTTAAGGAGGGGAATGTACCAGGTAAAGCTCCATGTAAGTTGCATACCTTGTGTGACATCTATGGACAGATAGAGTCACTATTTTATTTAATAGGTTTACCATACTTTAGGAGGGGAGTGTACCAAATAAAGCTTTGTGTAGTACTTGCATACGGTGTGACAAAACAGCAGGAAACAGTCAGGAAGTTTCATTTTTTTCTTGATAGACCCAAGAAGGGGTCCTCCTACCATCATACCGTGTATCTATGATTTTTCTTTTTTAGAGACTACATTATAAGAAAATAAATATATCATTTTTTTCTTTCAGATACAGGTCCTACCTGAACAGACTAAAGTGGCCTTAGACTATTCCCCTGACAGAGTGAGAATATTCATAAATGGTGATGGAAAAGTACTTAAGGCTCCTGAAATAGGCTAGATTGTACCTAATGTATCATACAAACTGGATATAGCTGAAACAGAGCTCGTAAAAAGTTGCGCCAAATCAAGCGATAAGTTTGAGAGCCAAAATGTGAAGAGATTCTCAAAAACTATCCATGAATCAGAGGATATTTTTAACGCTAAATGATAAAGAACGATTCTCAAGAATTGTCCATGCGCCAGATAATGAACAAGATGGAATATCTGAAAGCCTTAATGATAAACAAAGAATTACAAAAACTGTCAGTGAACCAGATGATATCTCTGATAGACAAAATAATAAGGAAGAATCTCAAAATCTTTCCATGAACCAGATGATATGTCTTAAAGAACATTTATCTGAACTCAAAGATTTTTCAATGTCAAACTGATTTTGTTTTTGCTGTGGACCAGTGTTCAATGTACCATCAGGTATCCTTTGCAAAGGCCAGTTACCAAAAGACAGTATTACATTTCATATATGTTATTAATACTCATTATATAATTATAGAATTTCTAGTCAGAGAATCATCAAAGAGTTTTCAGAATTAAGATTGAACTCATAATATTGTTAGCAACTAGGTGGTGACATTTTGTCATGTTAATGCCTTGTATATTGTGTTATATTGTATAAACTGTATTTATTTTGTATAGTGCTATATATTTATCCCATCGAACGAAGTTTCAGGGATATAGAGAATGGCTCCTTCCATCCATCCATATGTCAATCAGTACTCAAATACGTACAGACGTACATGCCCCATAAGAGTACAAATTCTGCTTTCAAAAATGGTCTCCAGTTTCAAAATGGCCACCATTATGGTGTCAATTTTACAGTATTTTAGGTACAAAATATAAAACTGTAATATTAGTATGGTTTAAATGCAAAAAGACAAATGATATTGATTAAGTTGAAAATCTTAGTATTTAAAAAAAGATTGAGGCAATCTTGAAAAATGGCAAAATTCACTGTTACCTAGTTATTTTTGGTCATCTTTTTAAGAACAAGACCATCTATCCCCCCATCATAAAAAAAAAAATATCATCATCATCAAAAATATTTTAAATGGCAAGAAAATATAAATAAAGGTTTATTATATATTATGTAATGTTTGAGGCAATCTTGAAAAATGGCAAAATTCAAACCAATACCTGAGAAATTTGTTAAAATGATGGCCAATGTTATGTACTAGTATGTTATTTTACGATTTTTGCTGTAACTGGAAAAGTAGTGGAGTGATTTTGTAAATATAGCAGCCATGACTCTACAATGGGATTTACCACACCTTGGCTTGGCTGTTACCTAGTTATTTTTGGTCATCTTTTTAAGAACAAGACCATCTATCCCCCATCAACCCCCAAAATCATACTTTCGTGCTTGTAAGAATGTCTTGTGTAATATAAATATGTGTCTTAATTGTTTAAAAAACCTGGATGGTAATTTAGGTCTGAGTTGGCTTGAATCCAAATTAACTAGTTAGATCAGAGGCCTCCAAAAATATTTTAAATGGCTAGAAAATATGAATAAAAGTTTATTATATATTATGTAATGTTTTGAGCCTTGTTTTTGTTATATATTTACTCTCATTACAAAAGCTGTTCTGTTGATACATCTTTCAATTTAAAGGGGCTATAACACTGTAATCCTTGCACAAAATAATACCAGTTTATTTTTCCATTCATATTGATCATTATGTACCATTTAGTAGATATTTGTACCTACGTATCAAAAAATATCAAACCGTTAAAAGTTCTAAATAAATTCAAAAAGTTTCCCTTTTGAATAAGATTTATTCTCAAATAACCTTTTTGAGTTTTATGCATGATGTACATGTGCCATTTAAAATCTGTAAAAGCACATTCTATCAGGGATTGCAACTACAGATACTGGTCCTTTAACTTTAAAATAGTCCTCTTCCTCACTTGAAATGGACATCATCAAACTGGACTGCTCCCTTTTCAAGTCATTTTGATTCCAGATATTATTTGCTGTTTTTTGTATCATGCTGTAATGACCTTCGATATCAGGGCCGTAGGGAAAGGGCGTTCGGAGGGTCCCCCCCCCAAATCTTGACTAAAAAAATTCGAACCCACCTTTTAAGTTAATATTTTGCAGTATTTCAGTAATTTATCGTTTTTAACATTACTGAGAATACAGAAAAACGATTTATTTTGAAATGGGAATATGTTTGCACTTTAAGCCTGAAATACTGTTCTAGTTTTAATAACATCAAAATAAATTCAATTGTAAAAATAAAGCATATTTACCGAGTATAAACTGTCTTTCAAAATTGTTTTCTTTCATTGGAACTCGCCAGTTCTAAATTTTGTCCTCAAATTTTCCAAATGAACGAAATTGGTTAAAAATTGGGATATTTCACAAATTCCAGTAAGCAAATTTGGCAAAACTGGCAAAGTTACCGTAGGTGGCTCCAAAAAAATTTGCCGAAAATATTCGAACCCTCTCCTGTCAAATCCTGCCTACCGCACTGCATATGAAGTCGCTACTACGGTCCCCCGGGGTACAGTCCATAGTGGCTTAAGCCCTTTATCTCAATTGGTAGAGCGTCTGCCTCTAGAGCGGAAGGTCCTGGATTCGATTCCCACACTGGACGTTGAATTTGACACACTCCCTTCCGAGTCTAGTATAGGAGTTACACTCCTCGACGGTCGTGCCCAAGCATCGTTACATGCAATACTTATTGCAGATATTTATTCAAATCTAACTTTAGAATTATATTTTTCTATATTTATTCCAACTGTACGTGCTATTCATATTTGACATTTCATGAGAGTAAACTATATGCCGTACCAAATTTTTAGACCGTAATGATGCCATAAGATAAAGATGGCGCCTTGTACATTGTAGCCCTGTGTTTTCCTGATTATCTGGACCCACAAAGGGGGAGGGCCGGGCCCCGTCCCCCCCCCCCTGGATCCGGGTTTGCCAGTGGTATGGATATGCTAAGTTACATTTTATTTATTTTCCTTACCATATCACGATCTCCAACAGGTGCTTATACACTTGACGTACACCGCAACTGTTTTTATAATGTAATTCAATAAAAAAAATAGTAATTTATTGAAATGAAGTCTATATGTGTTTGCTTTGTTAGTTCAATTGTCTCGTTAGTAGATCCTGTTCAAATTTGTGTTTGATCATATTCATTATCAGAATAATTAACTTCATATAATGTTCAATTGACTTTTCAATATTGTATAGATGCATATGGTATTTGTAAAGTATTGGAAATAAGTAAAAATACTGAAGCAATTTTTTTTAAATATGAACAAGAAAAAATAATACCCTCCCGCACCATCACCAGTATTACACCCTTTTCGATATTTTCGTTCGAGCTTTATCTTCACTCTTTGAGTGCTTAGACCCAGCCATAAAAATGAAAATAAACCCTGGGAATACGCTAAAAATCCAGCTACCACATCATAAACCACAACATTCACTGAATTTTATGGTATTCAATTTGTAATGAAGCTCTCATTCGGGCCATTTTTAGAAAAAAAAATCGAATTACTTAAATTCTGTCAGCCTCATAACTATTTCATTTAACGAATCACCCCATTGACATAATGAAGGTCCCATCCTGTCCCATTGTTGTATGATAGAAGTTATTTTCTCTCTATTAACTTCGGTGTAAGCGGGGGTGTAAGACAAAAAAATTGAAAAATCAACAAGCAAAGGACAGGGGATTTGAATCAATATTACACGAGTATAAATGAACAAAGCTTGCTTTAACTATGCACCAAAATAGTTGTATTTTTAATACTTTTGTTCTCAAATCAAAATTCAATATTTTCCCTTGTTCCCCTATGTTTCATCTGTAAAACATGGGTCTACATTTACCCCACCACTGCGTCCCATGGGTCCGGGCGGCGTCCGTTTGCAATTGCATCTACCCTTACAATTCCTCAAAAAAATAAAATCTTTTCGGAACAGATCTGCAAATGGGTCGCTTTGAGGGTCTTTTTTAATTTGTCTGCACATTTTTTTCCACTGCATCCATTTTTCGCATTCTGGGTTCAACGGTCTTGATTTCTGTCCATCCGGTTTGGGTTTCGGCTCCTTACGAGTTTTACTATTTTTCTTCTCGGCAGTTTTGTTAAGAAGCTTGAAGTAGCATTCCTCTCGGCACTTTGCTCTACAGTTTTCAACCTCTTTCTCTAAAAAAAATGATTGTTCATTAGAGTAAAACATTGTACATATATGTTAACATAACGTTTACAAATGTAGAGAAAGTGTAATGTATATAAAATTGAAAAACAATTTATTTTTGTATTTCAAAAATTGCATAGATTCCAACAAATTTGACAATTAATTCAATCATGGTGTATTTGCGCTTAGCCCTCGTCTCAAAGAAAGATCTTGATATTACTGAGAATATTTTCAAAGGCATGTACGAACTACGAACTTTGCAAACTTGTACTGCTGTTTTAGGTGAATTATCTGAAAAAACTTACCCTCCACCGGTTCATTTCCTTGACTCTCAACAGGGCCTGAAAAGTACAAGATACAACGTATACGAGGGGTGATCAATAAGTAATGGACGCTTTTTTACACAGATGCTTTTTATAGACCAATCCCTTCGATTTTCTTACCAGTGATACATCATTCAATTATCTATCAACTCTGAAGATTTGAAGACAGTATATACATTACATGTTGATATATCTTTATTTCCGTGAAGGAGGTACAGGTACCCCGGGACCGACATTTACGTCACATATTCTGAAGCTATTTTATAGATTGTTTAACATGCAATGCAGTTGAATGCAGGCTGAACAAAACAAACCATTATGGTCATGAATTAACCCATTTTGTTATGCCATAGTAATAATGTAATAATTTTGAATATTTTATCATTACTATGTGGTATTCATGCCACATTCATTCCACAGGGCCCTCTAAATAGTTTCCATCAAGTGCTACATGTACACAATTCCTCATCCTCTTAACTCAAGATTGTGAGACAAGGCTGAATCCATTCTCTGTCATGGTAGCAAGATGCAGTTGCACGGGTTGTTTTATTTCATCAATGTCAATAAACCTGCGTCCTTTCTCTATAGAAATAAGTAGTATAGAAATAAACAAGTCACATATGAGCAAATCTAGACAATATGGTGCATTGGCCAAGGGCTCAATTTTGAGGTCCAGGGATATTGTTTTCTGAACATTTTGAGATCTATGGGCAGGTGCATTGTCCATATGGAGTAGGGTATTCCCTTCTCTCACCACCCCTTTCTTCCACTGAATCCTTTCTCAAATTGACCTGCAAACCCCTTCCATACAACACTCTGACATTACAATACTTTCTGTTTATGTGTTACCAGTCAGCAACATTTTTTAAACAACACAACACTTGTTGCATATAAAACGTTCAAATCTAACTGAAATTTACCAAACTGGCTAAAATCTGAATATGTGACGTTAATGTCGGTCCCGGGGTACCTGTACCTCCTTCACGGAAATAAGGATATATCAATATGTATTATATATCTTGTCTTCAAATCTTCAGAATTGATAGATAATTGAATGATGTATTACTGGTAGGAAAATCAAACGGATTGGTCTATAAAAAGTATCTGTGTAAAAAAGCGTCCATTACTTATTGATCACCCCTCGTATAACTTGTTAATTTAAAAATTTGTTTTTGTACAGACTTTGGTTCATGGTCATGCTTTGGCCACTCTGTCTCGTGCCGAATTTCACCATATTGATTAGCCTATCATCATTTGTGTTCTAATTAAAACTCGTATGTATATTATTATGTAGTTTGGTTTTCGAATATACATATTATATGTATTAAGAAAGTACCATGGATGCTACGCTTTGCATCTATTCGACTTTGCTTGTTAAAAGAGAGCTTCGTCTGATAGACTCTGCGCGCAGGGTACATGATTGCCATTCTTTGAGGTTGATTCATCTACTTTCCTTTGAAAATTTCCACAGAATAAAGAAAGCCTAGATTTTTGTATTTCTACTTTTTCTACTTGACAAACTCCATTTACCTGTCTTGCCTTTTGGACTTGTCGTATTACTGGCAGATGGAGGGTTCGTGACTTTCCCAATGAACAAAATCACGCCGCATGTCTTGTCGTAGATGAGGAACATGAACGGGTGGTTACAGTTGACTTTGACAGGCGGAGGAACATAGCCGGATCGTCCTCCTGCAATCACGGTAACTGCAGCGGCTTCTGTCCCTAAAACATTGTTGAAAGCAAAACTATAATTCTCCAACAAAATTAAATTGTTTTATCACATAAAATGGCGAGAGCTTACAATTTGAGAATTTGGTACCACTGCTCTGATATTACGAGATATATTTTATGTGATGGGAAGTTACAACGATCATTATGGGAATGGTTATCATATAATTATTGCCCTTGATACCCATATATCACATGATAGGCATTGTATTCACAATTCACAATTTTTATTTGGCTGCCATACACCAACATATATTTGATTTTATTATTTTTTATGATGGGGCTGTAAATGGAACATAGGCATGTAGCAAAATACCTTTTTCATTTACATCAACAAATGCCTCGTGGATGACCTTGGATACATCTAGTCTTGGATCCTTGCTGAATCCACTGAGGTCGACAGCAGATGAGAATAGTTTTTCCATTCCCATTTCTTCCAGTATCGATGACAATTCATTTTTCCATTTAAACTTCATCTTTGGTAGCGACACGTAAACGTCTCTCCCAGCGTTGGGCGCCTGGAGATAACGCAATGCGACTTCGAGGTTTTTATGAGTTATGCCTTCTATTAAATCTTTCATGCCATCTTTCTCATCTGGAAGGATTATGACCATACTCAATCTATCGCCGATGTAAGGGAGGTCCAAGAACTGGGCCTTCAGACCAAAGTCGTGGAAATACTTGAAAGGGGCTTCTTGGTACATCATATCGACCTCGACTGTTACATTATTTTGGACATAGAAAGATTGAACATTGGTATCACATGGATTAAATTGCGTAACCCAATCTCCCCTGAAGTAGATAGCATTGACGAGTGCAAATACTGTCATGGCACTGATATCTCCCGGTTGAAGAACTTCTTTGATCAACTGGTTCGTTTGGTCAGCTACCCATTTATTTATAATATCGGTGGCCTGGGCTGATTGTTTAAAATCAAGTTCTTCTATCGAACCTTTATAGTACGTTTCTATTGCTGTGATAAACCTTTGCCTTACGGCCAAGGTTTCATCCGGATACAGCTTGTTCGCTGATCTGAGCTCCGTGCCATTTGTTTTACCATACAGGTTTTTATTCAGACACGAGTACATAGAGTGAAGGCCAGAATTCTTTTGGATATCAGTAACATGTAGAACATCTTCCATTTCAGATTTGGTATCCCCATCAGCTCCCAGAAGTACCATTGCCAATGCGGTTGCTATACTCACAGGGCTGAAGAAAACATTGGTGCCGTTTTTCTCTTGTTCACTTATCTTCTTGCATATCTCAATCCCAAACTTGTTAATAGCATCGGCCAGTTCTTTTTCTTTTGAACAGTCTTCTTTACACTTTATTCTATCCTTGGTATCTCCATTACCCGCACCTACAGTCCCTATACAGACTACAGCAGCAGTCAAAATAGCAAACCACGCTAAGGACATATTTCTAATCTTGATGAGTAAAACGTTTACCTTCCCATTCCTAGTGTGAGTTTCAACGAACTAATATATTTTTCTATAGTCGTGTGCTATAAACGAGTCGGTTTTAATTTGCCGTTATCTATTGTCTATCGTCAATCCACTATTTGTACAGTTGGCTTTGAATTGCATTTAATATCATTTTATTTTGATATTTGCATTTATAGCAAAATATATTGCGACATTACCCCTTTCAATTGATTTGATGGAGCGTTTTTATAAGAAAACCTCAAAATATTTGAGTTTTTTCAAAATGTGTTGCTTAACACTGTTCCAAAACTGATTTGTATATTCACAAAGATAAAACAAGTGATCAATCGTTTCAAATGCAGTATGACAGAATTCGCACATCGGCGATTGTATTACATTATATTTAAACAGATCATTGTTTGTATAAAATGCAATTTATAAGTTTAAATTGAAAAGCCCTGTGTTTAGAATACGTTAAAATGTAATGATAATATGTATAGTAAAAATTCCAGTCTTCTTCGTTTAATTCATATTTTATACTAAGCTTTCCTTTTGCTGTTGGTTGTTCAACAATGTGTGACAATAAAATAGAATAAAATAATGTTGATGTACATTTGTTAAACTGATATATATTTTTTCCATGTACCAATATCAAAATTACAGTGTTTTACATCTAAATTGACATTATTTTCAAATACATTATTTCTTATAATCCAAGTTCTTGGGATGCCTTTTAAAATTCCAAACCATTTCAGCATGTATACATCAGATAGACCTGTTTGTACCTTAATCTGGTGCCATGTTTTAATTGATCCATCTATAAATAAATCTTTAATTTTTATTATGCCTCTATTGAAAAATTCTATCCAGAAGAGTGATTTATTTTGTAAATTGTGATTTTTTTGTTATTCCATATTATTTCCTCTGGTATATCAGTTTGTGAACGAGGCAATTCCATAAATGTTTGAAGCATGTGTATATAATACTTTGGCATATCAATATTCAATTTAGTTATATCATACTTGCAATTCAATACAAATTACTAAACCATTCTTACATCAACTAAAAATAGATAATATAAGCCCAAATACCAAAGGACGATTCTCGGTTTGGAGAACGAAGTTCATCAATCTAAATGAGCATTATCTCTGCTTCGGACAAATTTGATTTTTTTTTACATAACATAGATTTGAGTGTCTTCTTTTGAATAGTCATAATTTAATTTGGGTAATATTTCTAGATTTTTCGCAAAAAAAATATTAGCGCAGCACACTGATGAACTTCTTTCCTCAAATCGAGACTTGTATTTTATTGAATCTGTCTAATTGAGCGTTATCCCTGCTTCAGACCAAGTTGTTATTTTTACATCTTGTAGATTTAAATGTCTTCTTTTGAATATTCATAATTTAATTTGGGTAATATTTCTATATTTTTCATGAAAAAAATTATTAGCCCAGGAGACTGTTCTCCAAACCGAGAATCGTCCTTTGAAAACATTCCAGAAGAACTTATACAAGTAACACATCTATTGAGTATTTATTCAATGAACTTTGTAATATACACTAGTATCTGAAACGATATCATAACATGAAAATGTCTATAGCAAACAATTCATATTTATTGTGTTTGTAATGAAACATTATTCTTGCTTAATGATGTTATATACTTTGTTCACTATTTGTACAACACTATTACATGCAATTGATATATACTGAATGAAAAAGAAATTTAAAGTATATCACTTCGGATTGAGCAGCGGCTTTTTAATATGTCTATATTTCTCTTTTTTGTTTTGTGTCTTAGCTTCCACGAGTGGGACAAAGGAAACACAGTTGTAGGTGCTAGGGTCAGTTGCCCTGGTGACTGCGGAAAACAAAATGATCTGGTGGAGGGCATCAATGCATTCGCTGTTGATATGTACAAACACATCGAGAAACAGAATAAAACTAAAAATGTGTTTTTTAGCCCGGTAAGCATCTCGACTGCGCTATCAATATTGCTTATGGGGGCAAGGGGAGAAACAAAGTCTCAGATGGAAGACGTATTAGGTGTCTCGTCAATAACAGGAAATGTGGATTCAATGTATACATGCCTCAATCGGAACTTGTACGGAAGAACCAAAGGAACCGAGCTCAGATCGGCGAATAAATTATATCATGATAAGACGCTCAAAGTAAAGACAGAGTTTATAAATGCCATAACGAAGTACTATGAAGGTTCGATAGAGGAACTTGATTTTAAAAAATCTACTTGGGCCACAGCCAAAATTAATTCATGGGTAGCCAAGCAAACCAACCAGTTGATCAAAGAAGTTCTTCAACCGGGAGATATCGATGCCAATACTGTATTTGCACTCGTCAACGCTATCTACTTCAAGGGAGATTGGCTCGCGCAATTTGAAAAATCCGATACTACAACACAGCCATTTTTGTCATGCGCTGACTGTTCGACATTTGATGTTGCAATGATGTACCAAGAAGCCCCGTTCAAGCACTATCACGACAATGTATTGGAAGCCCAATTTTTAGAACTCCCATTTGTGGGTGAAAAATACTGTATGGTACTAATTGTCCCGGATGACAGATGTGGCATTGACATGTTAACAAATGATTTGACCGCAGAGAATCTTAAGCAAAGTTTGGACACGTTATTGCAAGACTACTCTGGGAGAGATGTGTACCTTTCACTTCCAAAATTAAAATTCAAATGGAAGGACGAACTTTCAAAGATACTTGAAGATATGGGGATGGAAGATTTGTTTTCATCGAAAGTAAACCTGGGTGGGTTTAGCAATGATTCTAGGCTAGATGTTTCGAAAGTTATTCACGAGGCATTTGTGGATGTGGACGAGAAAGGTAAGCCTTTGTAAAATAAATATATAAAATGTTTTGATGGGTGAGATGTCTCCATTATTCTCGATACAATTAGTGGATATATATAAGTAAAATGTAAAATCGTTCAACCTGCCAATTAGATTTTATTATCTACTTGGGTAACTTGGATCTATGCAACCCCCATTTATAGAATCAACAACTTTTGTCTTCGTGTATTTACATTGTTAGCAGATTAAATGCTGTGGAAACCACTAACTTTTCTCATTTGGTGCAAAATGGCTTTGTTCACTAAAAGTTGGGAATTTATAACTTTTTGTCTATCCCTATAGCTGATTGTTTAATTTACTTTTATTCTGTTAACAGGGACTGAAGCCGCTGCAGTTACCGTGATTGCTGGAGGACGATCAGGCTACACGCCCCCGCCTGTCAAAGTCAACTGCAACCACCCGTTCATGTTCCTAATTTACGACAAAACATGCGGCGTGATTGTATTTCTTGGGAAAGTCATGGAACCTGGAAAAGTCGAAAAGATAAATCAATTATGTAGCCTAATTTTATTCACCATTTTTAAAAATAGTCATGTTATTTTATTTCAATTCCATGAACAGTAAAAACCTATATATCTGAACACCTCTCGATAGGACTGCTTTTAAATCGGTCGAGCTTTGCTACCTCCACAAAATGTTAGCCATTGATTAATGTTTACTTTTCCGCCAAACATCTCATCTTTCAAATAATACATTCAAATTGATTTAGAAATATAAATATTAAATAATTGGGATTCAAAAGAATGAGCCTCCTAAAATCTCTACTAACAGCTTAATAACTAATATTTTCTAAAAACTATTATGTGTATTTTAGCTGCTGATGCAATTGTTGAGTGTAGAGAAAACTGTAGACAGTTATGTTTTGACAAATTGGTGAAATCAGGGAGAACAATCAAGTCGTCCAAACAGAAACTCGGTGCAAAGAAAAAATTTAAAGCGGAGTTCAAAGGAATGAGGAAATGCAAACGTGAAAGTGAAGAGTGCAAATGTAAACCATCTGGAGGAAGAAGTGGACTCAATGTGTGCTAGAAAGACTCAAAAGATGAATATATGCGTTTCGAAGAGGATGACTAAAAAGCCGATTTGATTTAACGTTTCAGCATTACAATTCTTATTTAATTGAGTTTATTGAGAAATAGAAAAAGCCTATATTCAAAAGCTTGCATATTAGGAGAGTTTTCATTTACAGGGCGTGCTAATACGGGCGGGTGTCAGACCCCCCCCCCCCCCCCGCCCAGCGTTTCCAAAGTTGTTCGAATTCATATCTAATTGAATTTATTGGGAGAAATAAAAAATGTCAATATTTACAAATTGCATTAGGGCTAGCGTTTCCAAAGTTGAAGAGGTACCGTAAAAACTATAAGGTACCATATTATAGCCCATTCAAAAGTCTCGAGAGATATCAAAATCTCAAAAAGTAGGTCAAAGTAACATTGCGGTGGTACATTATACCTCATGAAGTTCCACAATTCAAAAACGTAAAGTCGCAAGTCGACCGCAGAACAATTAAATCGGTGAATTTCTGCGGCGAGCGTAGAAAAACTACGCTCGCCTTGCGGCCTCCGTACGGCGAATGCAGATTTTTACAGGCCGCAGGGAACGCGTAGAAATTATAACTCGGAGTTATAATATTTGTTCATTTCATATTTGTCAATGTTTCACGATCACTTTTCATTTGATATTACATCCTAGCACTATGAATAACATTTATAAATTGTCCTGATGTAAATAAAATGAAAAAAGTATTATTTATCAACAGAAATTTAAAATTCACCGTGCGGCTGCCGTGGGAAATGTGACTGCAAAAGTATGAGAGCGCAGAAATTCTGCGGCGAGCGTAGAAAAGCAACTGGCCGCAGAAATGATAGACCGCACGGCGGCCGCAGGAAATGTGACTGGGGTGTAAGTCTCAAAAACTAGTTTTTAAGTTTGTAAGATTTTCACACTCATATATGGATTGATTATAAAATTGATATTGAATTTGAAAACAACATAAGTTTGAAATATAATCTTTATTTCGTGAATTAAGTAAAACGTACATTGATTTTGCTCTACAGGAGCGGGAGCGGGATGCATACAGCGCGTATCCGTCCTGGTCCCGGACCTTGGCGATAGCTCCCTAGATACTAGGCCATGTACCTATAACATCAGTAGGTATGGAATAAAACATCGAACTAATTTAATCTCTTAAAGAAATAATACTCTTCAGATTTGGAGGAAATAAAGATACAAACAAAATCAGACTAACAATTTCTCCAAAATAATTACATCCAACCTTACGCATTGGCATTGGTTTAATTTGATAAATGTTACACCCTAGTTTAAGAGGGCTTGACAACTTAAGTAAAAAATGTATAACTGAGATAGGCTTTGCGAATTCAACTTGAAATGTAGATAAGCAGGATTAAAGCCCATTTGCATCCCCATGTTAAGTCAATACACCTTTGCTGAAATCCGCATTTTCTCAGAACTCAAGTTGATCGAGTACATTCAACAAGTACATTTATGTGAGAGAGTATTGGAAGAATCCATTTCCAATAGTACGAATATCGGTTCTTAAACTGGACATTAAAGCTTAACTAAGGCCTTTTTGAAATTTTTTATTTATGTTTCTATCTTTCATATATACTGTTGCAATATGGTCCGTTCATTACGTATCTTTTGGATTCAAAATTGTCAATGGAATTGTTAATTTATCAGAATCAATAGAATTATCTCAGCCATCTAGATCTAGATCTTTTATAAGATACAAAAGAGAGGTTCATTGGACAGGTATATGATGTCATAGCACACCGGAATAGCCTGACTACAGTAAAGTCAGATACCGTTGTCACAAATGGCGGACATAACCGTCGCTTTTAGCACCGGGGCATACTGTCGAGCAAGACCCGCTTTTACCATCGTTTTGCCAATAGAGATTGACGGGACGGAGGAAAATGCACAAAACAAGAACTATTCATTCTTATCCAGCATATTTGCAATTTCGATGTCTTCGATATTCTCGACGGAATCAGATTAATCAAAAAAATACATTTCAGGATTTCAAAATTTCTGATTGTCATTGAAAAGAAAAATTTCGATCTTCCATATTTTCCAGAAGTACTCGAAGGCAAAACCACTTTTACAAACTGTCTTTACATACTACAGAAGCCGGCTTCTGCAGTCAACAAGAAGCCGGCTTTTAAAAGCCGGCTTCTTAAGTACATCAGAAGCCGGCTTCTACAGGGTGGTCCAAAAAATTGGAACATTTGATAATTGAACGCAAAACCTTTATTTTTCTTCTAAAATGCACCAAATTTTAACTGAGCTTAGTTCAGTCACTTATTTATCTGATGGAAAGTTTATGGGTGCAAACAACAAAGTTAATGCATCAAACTAGACAATGTTTGATATGACCCCTCAATTCCTGAATTACAAGTTGAAGCCTGGGATTCAGTTTTGAAATGATTCATTCACATTGCTGTTCGTTTAATTTTGTCCAAGCCATTTTGAGCTTGAACAAACTACTTATATGTTTGCCTTGGAAGATCAAATATGTGAACACATTCAACATTTTTTACCCAAATTGATGGGTATCAAGCATATTTTGATGGCTATTGTTAGGTGTATTACTGATTGAATATTCTCAAGAAAGAAGCCAGGGCAGTCTGTTTTGACTGGTAAATGAGCCCCCCCCCCTTTCTTGTTCTAATATGGATAATATTCATTGAATATATCAATATATATGTATATCAATATCATAAAGGAGTTTCCCAGAACACAAATGATATATTATATGTGCTTAGATGTGGTCTTGAATAAAGCCTTGTAAATAACTGGTCAGTTTCCCCTTCACTGAAAAGTGGAAACAATGATTTTATCACTTTAGTAGCTGCATGGGTTATGCAATCATTCACCTTTTACGTGTTCTTTCTTTCCAACTCTTAAATAAAAATAATGATTTGGGGTATTCTTAAGTTAACAATAACACAATAGTTTTCTAGTAAACCATAGATGTTAATACCTCTTTTCAACTAAATATGATTTTATAAAATGTGTATAGCAATCAACATGTTCATTAAAGCGTTGAAATAAAGAAAACTTGAAAAAGTAGCGGCGAAATTGACAAGTGTATATTTGAGAAAAGGGGGTCATATCAAACATTGACTAGTTTAATGCATTAACTTTGTGGCCTGCACCTATAAACTTAACATCAGAGAGATAAGTGACTGAACTATGCTCAGTAAAATTTTGGTACATTTCAGACGAAAAATAAAGGTTTTGTGTTCAATTAACAAATGTTCCAATTTTTTGGACCACCCTGTAGAATCACGAAGAAGTCGACTTTTACAAACTGGCTTCTTACACACTACAGAAGCCGGCTTCTGGAGTCTCTTAATTGGAGGTAAGAAGGATGAGGTGGAAGATGAATCCTAAAGGAATTGAGAGCACGAGTTGAAGTCGTGAAACTGTTTATAGACTTATGAAAATGCACCACATCCAACATGAATAAAAAGAGGGGGGTAATTATGTCATGAGAGGCGATATCGAAGGAAGAAATACACAAAACTATTCTGCTTGGAAAAGACTGAATTTAGTGACTTTTCTGATGAAATGGGATATTTTGGCATGCTGTTTTAAATTTGAAAATACTCGCAAAATATGAAATCGATCTCTTTCATATTCATTCAAAATACCACTAGTGATCCGCTCGATTTAATTACGCTGGTTGCCGAAACAGTTCGTTTCGGTAACAAAATGTCGGAGGTCGAAGATACGATTTTGTTTGTTCCTTATTTCACGCGTTGTAGGCAGAATACCCACGACATTTTTATCAAAAAAGTATGTTAATATGATATACTTCAGAAAATGTACATGTTTGCGAACAAATAGTTCAGAAGACAACAGAATCGTCGATTTAATACCTCACTAAAGTTACGTAAACGAAATTGGTTAAAGGTGCAGGTCTTAACCATTTTTCGAAGTTTCTGACAATTTCAAAATTTCAAAGCTTCTTTCATTTAAAGCAATAAATTGGGCACGCTTTTGGGAAAATACAACATATCTCTCTCTGTTGAATCATTTGTGAGGGCGTGGCTTACAGCATTATTGTTATCGAAGAAGGAAGAACTTAACAAGGTCAATTACTACATGAAGTATTTTTTATTTAAATCATCATCATTAACAACATCAATTTCAAGTACTTCAGATACCAGTTGATTAAGCTATTTCCTCTAAGTGATGATGTGTGGATCTGTTATAGACTGCTCTTTATCTAGCAAAACGGTGGACAATTATACCTAGGGGGCTGATCAGCAGACAGGACGTCCCTTTTGATTCTCGAATCTTCTTCATTAACATCGTCGATTAAAACATCACTTTCCTCACCTGGATAAGAAAAAAACAAACATGTTTTAAGATTCGAAATCATAAGATTTTGGACATTTTAAATAAAATTTATCTTGGGAGATTTTTAGAGCAATTTTTACATGTTAAAGTAATATGCTATTAAACCTACTGGATCCTATGCCATCCTGAAGGCCATTCATGAAACATTCCTCTACTTACCATAGTTATAGCACCATAGACGTAGATAGTCTATATGCTATTTCCGAGAAGGCGCACTTCGACGCCAAACTTCTCAAAATGGCAGTAACATTGGTGATACATTTGCATGTGATAAAAATGTCGTGGGAATTCTGCCCACAACGCGCGAAATAAGGAAAAAAGAAAAATCGTACCTTCGAGGTTCCGACATTTTGTCAGCGTAATCGAGTGGATCACCAGTGAGTAACTTAGAAAAAATTTCTTTCTTACCTAATAAGTCAGTTTATCATATTTGACAAAACTATTTCAGAAAAATGGGTAGATGTATTATATCATTGACAGCAATCCAGATGGAAATGACTAATTAATGGCCAAGACAGAAATCTCAATTCCAGATAATTGCATCTTTGAACATTTTAGAGCCATGACCACCTGGAGCGAAATCGAGATCACTCTAAGTCTCAAGACCATTGATGTAATGCAAGTTCACCCCTGTATTTTGAATTAAATATTCTATCTACACAAAAAAAACGTTAAAATCCATCATATTTGAGAACGTTATTTCAAAATGAGAGAGCGCCTTTACATTCTTTTAAATAGAATATATACTGATTGGCCCATTTTTGT